TGATAAAAAGAATTTTGATTGCTTTTAATGCCACTTATCTTTGTGCATGACGAAATCACAATCACATGTGAAATCGCTATGCCTAAAACCAATCAAGTCATCAAATGAATATGATTTAAAAGTAGCAATAATTACCATGTCTAGAGCATAGGTGTGCATGGGCGGAGGAAGTCACTTATGATCAGATGAACTGTCTGCTTATTTGTCACCTTACTTCTTAAAAAAATACTGTTTAATTAGTGTGTGATGTGTCTATGGCTAAAAAAAAAGTTATTAGGTCAAATCTTTTTAATTTCTACGTATAAATTTAAATTAGAACATGCATCCGCTTCCATTAAAATGATTCATAGACCTGTTACAAATCAATCAACAGCGATTTTTAATTACTTAAACCTATTTTTTTGTTTTAATAACTAAACACATTTCACACATAGCTGTCTGATCTTAAATTAGACAGAGCCTGTGCTATTGTAACCTGACTGATGATAAACATGCTAATATATATTACTAAATCATCATATCACATCAACAGCTTTTAATAGTCCACTGCTGGACATAGGCCTCTCCTTAGAAAGGAGGTTTTGGCCTACTATACCACGTTGGCCAGACAGGTTGTTATAGGGTTTGTGTCAAGTTTCCTTTTTTCTGCAGTACTGTTGTTCTGAGTAGTTTTCTCCCTTAGTCGGCTCTCACGACACCCACATGATGAATAGGGATGGTGACACTCTGTATTCTTAATCCGTCACCACACGGTCTAAATACGGTACGGTACTAAATACATACATGTTATAGATAAATTACACCCAGACAAAGAACAAATGATCGTGCTCATCACACAATTATTTATGATGGGTAGGAATAAGCCTCTGACATAGCTTACCACATTGAGACCTCTCCGGCCCCGGAGAGCACGTTAAGCCACCTGACCCGGTTGCCATACTAACATCTGCTGCAATCTTTACGAGTATTTGGAGCCCTAAAAAGTCCAACAACGGTCTTTCAACAGAACTTTGTTATCGCCTACTACTTGGGTTGTGAAGGTCTGACGGCTGTAAACTGTTACTGTAAACTTAAAGCCGGCCCAAACCTAGTTTAGGACAAAGGCTATCCTCCTAAGCCTCCAGCTTTTTGGGGTTGGTTAAAAAATAAACTTACTAATTTAGACACAGTGTAAGACATTTTAAAAGACTTTCAGATCCAATATTAGCTTTATTTTATAGTCAAACATATTTATTAACTCCCTACTTTTACGATGACTCACGACCGGAAGCCGCTGACATACCATTTATAAAAGTTATTTTTATTAACCTTTCTAACTCCTAGATTAAGTTCACACTCATAGTATTACGTAACAAGAACATCACACATACAGAGTTACATCACTATTAACGGTTCATTTATCGATACGAATCGTTACTTCTGACCTAATATCGGACAACACTACCACCGTCGTTGCATAAACTAACACACTTATTTCACTGTAATAAGGTTTATTTTTGTTGTAACATTTATTTTTGAAACGTCTTTGCAATAGTATTGGAGCGTGTTTATTGGGTACAGGATATGAATCAGTTGTTTTTCTAAACAGAATATGACTCAGTATAAAATAAGATGGGGCTGGAAAATATTAGAAAGGGAAGCTGGAATATTTAGACTATGCAAACGTGCTAAATATTATTAGGTGTGTGATTTCCGCATGGAAAAAAAAAAAAAGAAGGTGTAGAGCATTTTACCCAGTGAGTAAAGCTACCAGAGTTTTGGACATAGTCACTTACTTTTGAATTAAATAACTTCGTTAAAAATCAGTAAATTTTGCTATTAAATACATGAGTCAAGACCGGGATAGCTGGCGCTCCTTGGGGAGGCCTTCGTTCTGCAGTGGATGGCCATAGGCTGATAATAACATGAGTCAATATATTTTTAATATGGGGAGGGACAGGACTTTGGCAACTTAGGTGACTTGGTAAAAATGTTAAGTTGGTTTGTGTACGATTCAATAACTCAAAAAGCTCTGCACCGTTTGAGGTTAAATTTTGACACTATTTTTCAGGTCCGTTCTCTTACTCAGAATGTTTGTGTATGAATTTCTCATGAACGAATCCACAATGTGCCAGATTGAAGCGCGGTTTTCTATATATTATAGTTTTTTTATGGAATAGGGGTCATACGAGCAGACGGGTCACCTGATGGAAAGCGACTACCACCGCCCATGAACGCCTGCAACTCAGGAGCCACAAGTCACATTATTTTATTTTATTTTGTTCGGAATACCAACAGCACAAATAACGCAAGTTAAAACATTAGAGTAAAGTTACAACGAAGCTATTTACAGGTATTCGCAAATAGATACCAAGTGTAAAATAACAGTTCAAGTAACTTAACAACAACAACTTAGAAAAAGGAAAAAATAAAAACTTAGACTAAGAAAATGTCACGCTCCTAACATTGGGCTAAAAAAATTTTTGAAGCATGTATTTTTTGACATGTGAAGGCCTGGATCTGAAGAGCTCAAACTCTCTACTCAATTTATGCATATCATTTACAGATTTACTGGCTCGAATAATAAAGGAATTTTTGGGGTAGTTGGAATTTGTCCGAGGTACTGCTAAGGCTGGATTATGCCTAGTGCGTAAATTATGCGGTACTCTGATTTTAATTTTCTCGAGAAGAATCGAGCAATCTATATCTCCGTTAATGATTTTTAATAATCTATACTAATATTATAAAGCTGAATAGTTTGTTTGTTTGTTTGTTTGAACGCGCTAATCTCAGGAACTACTGGTCCGATTTGAAAAATTCTTTCAGTGTTAGATTGCCCATTTATCGAGGAAGGCTATAGGCTATATATCATCACGCTAAGACTAATAGGAGCGGAGCACCAATGAATAATGTTTCAAAAACGGAGAAAATTTATTACTATCGAGAGACGCAGACGAAGTTGCGCGGGTCAGCTAGTGTAACAATATCGGAGACAGTACGTCTATTTGTTAAAGGCAGAAAATGATATCTCTTACATCTTGTTACATATCCGTGATCAATACACTTACACTTATTCTATATATTATATTCTATATATTATAATACTATAGTCCACATTGTATTAAAACTGTGGCACATTGTGTATTATTTTTTAAATGATATCACATCACACATCACATCAACAGCCTTTAATAGTCCACTGCTGGACATAGGCCTCTCCTGAGAGAGAAGGATTTAGCCTACTATACCACGCTGGCCACACGGGTTGCTGTAGGGTTTGTGTCAAGTTTTCCTTCTCTTTGCAGTGCTGTTGCGCTGCGTAGTTTGCTCCCTTAGTCTTACGACACCCACGGGATGAATAGGGGTGGTGACACCCTGTATTCTTAATCCGTCACCACGCGGACGATGATAAATGATATATGTGTACATTATGTATGTTACTGACGTGTCTAAAACAAATAAATAATAGCTTAACACCGGCACCGACTTTATAGACAACAATGAAGTCTAGGGCACAGCTAGCCAATAACATGCTTCATAGTCTAATCAACAACAACATCATCATCACATTAACAGCCTATAACAGTCCACTGCTGGACATAGGCCTCTCCTTAGAAAGGAGGTTTCAGCCTACTATACCACGCTGGCCAGACGGGTTGGTGTAGGGTTCCTGTCAAGTTTTCTTTCTTTTTGCAGTGCTGGTGTCCTGCGTTGTTTTGCGCCCTAAGTCGGCTCTTACGTCACCCACGGGATGAATTGGGGTAATGACACTCCGTATTCTTAATCCGTCACTACACGGATTGTAATCAACAACCGAAAAGACCAAACAAACAAAGCAAAATGGCACAATTATTGTAATTACATATGGAATTCTTAACTTCGCTGTGATTGGTATTTGTAAACAATCTATTCTTTAATACTATAAAGGTGAAAAGTTCGTTTGTTTGTTTGGTTGAACGCGCTAATATCAGGAACTACACGTTACAATATTGATAAATTCTTTTAGTGCTCGATGTTTATAGAAGGCTATAGGCTATACATCATCACGCTACGGCCAACAAGAGTGGAGCATCAATGGAAAATGGGGAAAAAGGGAGAAAAATTATTCCTTTTAAGAGACGAAGAAGAAGTTACGCGGGTCAACTAGTGTGAAAAATAAAGAAAAAAAAAACCGAAAGCCTTTTGGGAACGCTATCAGTAGGCGACGTTGTTGAGGATTTTTTTTTTTGGCGTTTGTATGTAAATAGTCAATAATTATGTTAAGAAGAAATGGTAGTTTCAATGATTTTATTAAAATATTAAAAAAGAAAAGACTAAATATAGAAATTAATAGACTTCAATTCATAGACAGTTCATCTACAAAGTTTGGCGAGTAAATGAGTGGTTGCATTTTGTTTTAATTAGTGCAGAGTCCCGGACGAACTTAAAAATACTTTTTAGCATTGACCGTTGGCTGTCTGTCTTTGCTAAACAACTTTTATTTTTATTTTGACAGCATCAAAAAATTGGCGCCAATTTTTTTACAACTTTAATAAAAGTCTATTAATGCAATAAATTGATGACAAACCTAAATATGCTTTTGATTATTTTGTTTATCCCGAACATTTGCAGAAATTAACGAAATTGAGGTGACGAAACAATTCTAAATATATGAAATGGCAGTTCTAAAGTTTTATCGTTCCTAAATCTAGACCTTTTGTCAGGCAAACGTCACACGGCCTTATGCCAAGGTCTCTATGACTTTATTATTGTTTATTTGTAACTATCCTGTATTCCGTTTTGAAATCACCAGTTCAGAATGACAGAGGCATACATAATTCAAACAATAAAAGAGAAATAATATTTAAAGTTTCGAAACTGTTATTGTTTTATCAATCAACATTGTCAAGATTTCTAAAGTTCAATTTGCAGTGATAAATAGTTTTGACCAGTGCCAAATTCCTACATTTATCGACAACGTTTATTACAAAGACATATTTAAAAGTCATACGGACAATTTGAACCATAGATTAAAAACTTACCTCTTCGACGGACTTTTTGGAGAATTCGTTCATGGACACAATCCATTGCTGTACAAGCTCATTCACAATAACTAAATCATTATATAACCATGTCAACAGGTCGTTCACCCATTGCACACTGGGTTGATCGGGTCCTGTACATGTTGGGACCAAGATGCTTTGGTGTTTCTTCAATGTTAGTTGCTCTGGGCCGGGTGACATACGACCCAAACGCTTCTTGTTCGGCGGTGTTGCTGGCACGAAACCAGTCGGTTTTGGAGGCTTACTGCTTGTAAATGATGCACTTTTTACTTTAGCACTGGTCGCTAATACACTATCCGCACTAGAAATTATTTCGTTCGAAGTTTTTTTCGTCTCATCGATCGGTTTTTGTTTTGTATCGACCTCGGTAACTTTTTTCGCGAATCTGCCGTACGCCCATTTCGCTATACCAAGGAGGACAATAGAAAAAAGAATCCAAATAAATATTAACATGACTAGGTTGTCCATGGCTGTGTCCATATAATCGAAGCTACATATAAGGTCGTCAACTGCTTCGGCCAGGTCCGCCATACTTTTCCATGGTGTTTGCCACCATTTAGCGGCGTCGACACCCGCCGCTTCCCTTTCCGATACTGATTGGGAGCTAGACATTTTTTTTCTATTTTTGAACGCACTATTTTGGGACGCAGCTCGCTGTCTCGCTGTATCTGTCTCTTTCTATTTTGGATGCGTTCGTGTTTTTAGATTATCTGTGGGCACATTTCGTTCGTTCGTGTTTCGTAGTAATCTTAAAGAAGTCTCTTGTTATTCTTTTCAAGCAGCATGATTATGACAAACTGAAACAAAAGAAAATCATTCATTATTATTTAGTTATAGAATCAGCACATTAATGCTTAAGTTATGCGTCAACAGTTATTAACGTTACATTCAAATGAAATTGACTTTTTCATTCGACTTTTTATTAAACTTAAAATTAGTAGATTTAAGACTATTTTGTTTATACTAATTTCATTGACAAATATTTATTGCTTTATTTAAAAAATATGTTCTTAAATTATTACAAAAAAATAATGTGTTATCATATTAAATAAAATTTGTAACTTTTTTAAATACATCGAATAGGTACACAGCCAAAATTGTGAATGTGTAATTGAGGAATTGTTCGGACTAATACCAGCCGCAACTTTCCACCATCGTTCCACATGGCAAAATTTATATATATATATAGTTATATATATATATATATATATATAATAGTTGGCACTCCACTACTGTGCGCTTTTCGAGACACTTTTTGCCCGGCACAACCAATCTGTGGAACGGGTTATCGTCTGCGGTATTTCCAGACCGATATGACCTTCAAACCTTCAAGAAAAGAGCGTACTCCTTCCTAAAAGGCCTATATATTTATAAAATTAATAAATTTAAAAACTTAAACATATTTATAAAAATACTTATATATTTTTAAATATTATGGATAAATCACACCCAGACACAAACAAATGACCGTGCTCATCACACAATATTTGGTGGTGTGTGGGAATTTAACCCACCACCTCCGGCTTAGCAGTCAGGGTTACTGACCACTAGACCAACAGGTCCGTCAGATACCTACCAATATATCTATATATATATAAGAGATGTCCACGTATATAGTCACTCATCACGATATCTCTGGAACCATTAGAGCTAAAGACTTGAAATTTGGTAGGAATATTCTTTTCACCGAGTAGAGGTCAGCTAAGAACGGATTTTAAGAAATTCAAAGTTTTTTTTTTTAATAATGTAAATAGCAAAACAACGTTTGCAGAGTCAGAGGCTTTTCAGACGTATTCGTGAACTGCCAAATCTATTTTTTTCTGTGACATCATTATAAAGCATGACCATGAAAATACCTGTCATGGGACAAGTATTTAGAGCGAACGAGAAACCATATTAATTTTTTTTTTTTTGTAAAAAGACAACTCCCGCATTAGGAATAAATCCTGTGTCGCGGGGGACTTTACAAACATACTTGAAACGGATACAAAGAACACCCAGACTCAGAACAACAATTTGTGGATCACACAAAGTGTCGTCCCATGTGGGGTTTGAACCCACAACACTCGGCGCAGTAGGAAGCGGCGTGGCGACCGCTTAAACCACTACGCCATCCGTGCAGTCGCAATTAATACAGTTCAGTGTTACCTGCTGCCTGGGTTCGATTCCGACCCTTCAAACCTTCAGGAAAAGAGTGTACTCCTTCCTAAAAGGTCGGCAACGCGGTTGTGACTCCTGAGTTTCAGACGTTCATGGGCGGCGATGGTCACTTTGCATCAGGTGACCGGTCTGCTCGTCTGCACCGTCTAACATAAAAAAAAAACAAATAATTGTGTGATGATCACGATAATTTTTTTGTGTCTGGGTGTAACTTATCTGTTATATATAACTAGCTGAACCGCGCAACTTCGTCTGCGTCTCTCAATAGTAGTAAATTTTCTCCGTTTTGGAAACATTCTTCATTGGTGCTCCGCTCCTATTGGTCTTAGCGTGATGATATATAGCCTATAGCCTTCCTCGATAAATGGGCTATCTAACACTGAAAGAATTTTTCAAATCGGACCAGTAGTTCCTGAGATTAGCGCGTTCAAACAAACAAACAAACAAACAAACAAACAAACTCTTCAGCTTTATAATATTAGTATAGATTTGTCTCTATTTAGAAATATATAAGTATGTTTATCAACAGTCTGGTTACCATAGTACAGGCTCTGTTCAGTTTGGGATCAGACGGCCGTGTGTGATATGTGTGAGGTATATTTTTTATTATTAGTATTTATGAGATGTGTAGGTAAAGTAGTTTTATTCTTTCACGAATAAGGTGTCGCGTTCTTTGTCCAAGTTCCTTCAGCTTTCATACTTTTTGTGAAAATGTTTAGTAAATACTAGGAATATCCTGGCTGATTCCTGTGGCGTGGTCACCCTAATCAGACAATAGTCTGTTACCCATTGTTTCATGATTCAGTAGGACAATGTTAATATGTAACTATGACGCATGCAATGCTCATTTCATGTTGTTTAAATAACACGCTAAGATGAAAACCTATACAATAATGTTTTAAGATAATTATTTGTATTATTTGTTGAGAAATATATATTTAGAATACGGAGTGTCATCACCTCTATTCGTCCCGTGGGTGTCGTAAGAGCCGACTAAGGGAGCAAACTACGCAGGATAACAGCACTGCAAAGAGAAGGAAAACTTGACACAAACCCTATACCAACCCGTCTGACCAGCGTGCTATAATAGGCCTAAACCTCATTTTTAAGGAAAGGATCTAAATATTATAACTTACTTAATAGTTTTATCTTGCAGCCATAAATAAACCACTAATCGTAATCAACATAAATTTTGCACTTATTACATATTTAAACCTCACAGGGGTGCTTAGCCAACGAGAGAATCGACCTGCCGCGTCCGTGTCAGGCACCACACTCAAGTTTTTAAACTTCACACATTTGTACATTTTGTTTTGTAGTGGTAATCGATGTTAATCCAATTACGTCTGAGTCAATTATAGAGTTACGTACGTTCAGTGTTAAATGGTATAACAAGGGCAGCATTGAATTTAACACTAAATACGGGAAGTTTATGTAACTACTATCAGTAATATATGTATAAGGCCGGCCTTAACCTTCTAGGAATGTAGAAGATACAATGGGGTTGACATGTCCACATAGACAAAAACCCCTAATCAACAACAGATTTAAAAAAAAAAAAAAAACCTTCTAGGCATCCCGGCAGAGCAGAAGGCGAGCAGAAGAAGCTTGAAGGAAAAAAGTGGCATAAAAAATATAGTTTTAAAAAACTGGTTGGTTTTCTATAAAAAGCGTGTTTTTTAGTTTTTTTTAAACTATTTATTTTATTTTATTTGTGTATTACCGAATTCTGACCGTTTAAAGTCAGTCAAATCATGCCCAAAGGAGTCGGTTACAAACAAACATACAAGTGAAGCTAATATAAAGCGTGTAAAACGAAATTTATTTTCATTAATAATAACTTCACACATCTCTAATCTGATCCCGAACTAGGCAGAGCCTGGGCTATGGTAACCTGACTAATACACACCTACATATTATATATTAATTACACCCAGATACAGTACAAATGATCAGGGTGGCACATAGAAATCGTATTATTATTAAGATTCCTATGGAGTAGCAACTCTCCCTAGAATGGAGGGAGGGGTTGACCTCCAGGAACTTGATTCATCATTACTTTACACCAGGTAGTAAGACTCCTTGGGAGCTATCTATGCAGAATCGATTTTCTCATGAAATCTACACGATAACCAATATTCCTAAATATCCTATGTCCCATGGATGGGGCAAGTCTCCATCTCAATCGGTTCCACACGCAGGTCCTTTCCAGGCACGGCTGCTTCGGGAAGTACTTGCACTCGGTCGCTAGGAGGGAATTAAGTCCCGCCTGTCACAATGACGACTCGGCTCAGCACACGCTGGCAATTTGCCCGGCTGGGGCTTGGGTCCTCATTGCAGTCATCGGGAGGGATTTCTCGCTACCGGCCGCTAGTGACTGATGTTTCACCGCGGTCGCATCCTTCTGCGAAGACGTCATCTCGCAGAAGGAGGCAGCGGAGAGGGCCCGGAAGGACAACCTCCACTCGGACCCAATTCGTCGTCGGCGTTTTCTTTGGTTTTCGGTCCGATTCCGACACACCACCCCGCCGCAAACCCCGGTGGAATGACGGCCCGATGGAGATTTAACACGTAAACAAGATATACACAATGGCTAATAAAAATAGTCTGTATCTGATGACTCAACGTGTAGAGGAGGCCTAAGAGTATAACAAACATGTCTTCCTAATAGAATAAAATGAACATAACGCTGATTTGGTGAGTCCAATTACAGGTCAAATAGTACTAGGTCAGAATGTGTAGCTCATATATTTTTAAGTTTATAATTGTAATTCATAATATTTATGCTAATATTATAAATATATAAGTAAAATATATCGGTATAAATATATAAAAGTATAAATATATAAGTATAATAATATAATAAACTAGCTGACCCGTGCAACTTCGTCTGCGTCTCTCAATAGTAATAAATTTTCTCCGTTTTTGAAACATTCTTCATTGGTGCTCCGCTCCTATTGGTCTTAGCGTAATGATATATAGCCTATAGCCTTCCTCGACAAATGGGCTATCTAACACTGAAAGATTTTTTTAAATCGGACCAGTAGTTCCTGAGATTAGAGCGTTCAAACAAATAAACAAACAAACTCTTCAGCTTTATAATATTAGTATAGATAGTATAGATGTGAAAGCGTATCTGTCTGTAAGTCTTTTATCTCTTCACGCTTAAACCGCTGAACAGATTTAAATGGAAAAAAAAAAACGATTTAAAATGGTTTGAGTCCCGGGAAATACGAGTAATATGGAATAGTTTTTACCCCAAAAATCATCGTTTAAGGAGGTGAAACGGGGGATGGAAGTTTGTATGGGGAATCGATAACCGCTGAATCGACTCAGATATAATTTGGTATGGAGATAATTTGATTCTTGATAAAGGACATAGGCTTTTTTTATAGGCAATAACCGCGGAGCGGAGCCGCGCGCAATAGCTAGTTTATGATAAGTTTTATCCG